TCTTTTCCGCGGGACGTGTATCGAACTGCGGAGCTCTTTATTTCGGCCACTGCTCTGAGAACCGGGGGAGACAAGGGGGAAGAAGGCAGATAGCTAGCTCCACTATATAATTTTCTTGACAAATGCACGCGCGTTTTTAATATTTCACTCCTCCTGCCGCGATATTTTTCATTATCGTGCTTGGGGACCATTCTGCATCGAAGTTGACGGGGACTGGAAATATGCCGAACAAAGGAAACGAGACGCTGTTCGAGTTCCCTTTTCGAGAGAAGTCGATGAGCTGCGGGGATTCGTAGGTGTATAGGTGTCTGGGAAGTTCGGAATACGGAATACGTGAGCTACGCGACAGATCAAGGAAATTTTTCCTATAGTTTCAAATATTTTGGGAGAATTATTCTCTCTTTTTCGTTAATTTTTATAGAGATTTTAAGAGGAAGATATTAATCTTTGGTTGACTTTTGAATTTTCTGTTTGAGGATTAATGAATATTGTAACTTGTAATTGGATAATTTTAATTTGATAACATTAGAACAGTAATCGAATAATATAAATTTGATAATACCAGAATAGTAGTATCATGGAAATTTCAAAGTTGCATTGCTTCTTACAACTGATGAACTCAGTTCATTCTTAGAAAAGCGTCTCGTACCAAAAACCAATTCAGTTCCAATTTTGAACTGAAATAATTTCAACTCCTTCGTTCTTAACACTTATTATTAGCACAAATTTAGCTAAAGTAGTACCGAAACATTCAATGTAGTCAAACCCAATTTATTCTCATAAAAGTGTCTCGTATCAAAAACCATTATTTCAATTTTAAATTCAGACAATTTGAATTCCTTCGTTCTCAACACTTATTATTAGCACACGATTAGCTAAAAGAACCGAAACATTCATAAATTTGCCAGCAGTTAATGGCGCCCAATTCAAACATACAACGCTCTGTGCGTATTTACAGTACGTTGTTTAACGGAAAGCGTATTAATTTTAATTTCCAAAACGAAGCTGCCGGACGATTCTATTTACATATTATGACAGTTCGGGGCGGTTCGCCGGTGAAGCTACGTACAGGACGATATCCGGTAAATGATGGTCAGCGTCGTAACCGCGGCCAGTTTATTGCTCCGTTCTATTCTTTATTACGAATCCCGTTGTCGCAGTTCCGTCTTCGACTTCGTGTCGGTTTCTCGCGAAAAGTTCGTCGGGGTAAGTTAGCCACATGAATATTTCATCGACTCGTAATGACCGGCGCCACGCTGTTACGCCCGGAATTTTAGCTCGGGCATTTTCATTTTTAAAAGAACGGCAGAGGAACTGGATGCGGAGCTAGATGAGCATGGGCCACGACAATTTCCTTCCGCGATCATGGTGTGAGTAAACTAAAGAACGTGACATAGATGGCTACTTTTTGTAGTTTAATTTGAAACTGTTGGAATTAATGAAATTGTCCAATTTAATTTATTCACCGGAGATGTTAGGCGCATTCGTTATTTGTATACTTCTCCATTCTTGGCTAATTCATGGATTTTTTATTCGTTGTCATCGTTCCTTCTTCGAACAACATTCTAATATCTGTGAGAATTTAAATGGAATTTTAATTATACCCGTTGAAGAGGAATCAATTCCAATAATTATAATTTTAGTATCGGTGGTAAACAATTTATAAGAGAATGCATAATGTAACTGCTTGAATATTGAATTTTGACGTGTCTGACGATAGTAACAAAGGACCTTGGACATTATTTATCTGTTAATTATTAGGTGCCGGAAAAAGTTTGTGCGGTTTTCTTGTTATCAATAGATTGTAGTACGATTTCACTTAGTATTTGACTAGTGTAATGAATGAAATTAGTATTAGCAGTAAGTTACGTTTATGCCGTCAGTATCAAATAAGATACAATTATTTTACAAATACGCTCTCTGTGTTTCAATTTTGATTTAAAAACCCGCACGAACCTTTTCCGGTACCTAATATATATTATTCAAGGTAGTTTTATATTGATGAATTGTGTAACTTGTGTCGAAGATCTTTCGGAACTTCGTTTTGAACTAACTGTAAGATGGACATTGGATCTCTGTTTACTTAATAAATGAAATTTTTAAGTGCAAAATTGCACAGAATAAATACGAATTTATAAAAAACTTGATAAAGAAAAATTTATGAAATGTTAACGTAAGTTTAAATTGCTTTTATAATATTTCAAAAAAAAGCATTCTCAATTGCAACTCTACTTTCCTAATTATGTTCTTCAAGATTTGAAATTGCATAAATATTTGCAGTATTAATAAACATATAATGAAACGAAGATTATTACGTAGTGGATCAAGTTCGTCGGGGATGAAATCACGCGTACGAATTAAGGCGAATCGCCCCGCGATTTCGACAACGAATAGGGAAAAAGCGGAAAAAGTATCACGGGGCTGGATATAATTAACAGAACGTTAACTGACAAGATCCATGTGGCGGGAAGCACGCCGGCGACCGTAATTTTCATATTAAGGTAAGTGCCGCGATGACGAAGCTCTAATTCGCCGGCTGGTCGCGGGAGAAAGTTACAAAAGGAACGGGGTTAATGAATTAAAAACAGCGCCGGGGGCGGTTCCTCTGCCGGGTATCTGACAAACAACTTCTCTATCTGGCTAAACTGTGCTAACGATAACATTCATTTCTAGTTTCGGATACTATGTATGGAAAACTAAAATGATTGTTGCTTTTAGACTAAAGAAAAATATGGGAAATTAATTAATATTCTAACCTTTAGAATAATATAGAAACAAAATTTTGGAAACGTATTACAACAAAATCGAAGATACTGGATGATCCTGTTAATAAATGTTTAACGTTGAATTGTTAGAACCTGAATCTTTATGTAGATTAAACTTTTTTTAATAGTTTTATAATAGCAGAAACTGAATTGAAATGTATGTCTCCATGATTTATCTGTTAACAAAGAAACCGTTATAGAGTAAAATGGTGGATCTGCAGATGTTATGGTTTAGTTTTTGATTTGTTGCTTACAATTGTGTGAAAAGAGAATTTAAAAAACGCTAATTAAATTAGAAACAAAATAGTATGGTTACTGGGAAGCAATTTGTAATATAAATATAACAAATAACGCTTTGTTTTGACAATTTTTTGTAATGAAGAATAGAACTGAACGAATTCATAAACCAAGTCTTCTTTCAATATGCAGTTAATATTTTAATAATGCTAACTAAAACATTTTTTTAATTACACCTTAATAACGCCAATGAAGGGATACTATAACTCGTTTTTACGATGCATAATTTTTTAAGAAGACTAAAGTTACGCGGAGCCTGTAATGCTTTAATTTCAATTTAAAATTACGTGGAAGTTCGCTCTTAGATGTTGGTCCCTGGTGTTCCTTTTCTCGTCTGCTTCTTAAATGTGTAATATTAAAGCTTATAACGAAGCAATTTTGCGATAAATTTTCCGGCGAACACCGTAATCTTCGAAGTTACGAAATGAAAATCTTAATTTGTCCTTTACATAGACCATCGTGCTACATAAACTGATGCTGCATTCCATTGAACAAACTTTAACGGGATTTCGGCATATTCCTCCTGACTAAAGAATACTTGTACTTTAGTGAGTCCTTTTGTTATTAAATGATTTTTAAATTCTGGTTTAAACTCTTATTAGGATGCCTAATTATAAAATGTGATATTATTTGAGCTTTCGTAGTCAACATCTAACTCACGCAAAAGAGTGGAAACATAAACAACATTTATAATTAAAAGAACGTTTCCATAGTTACATAATAATATACTAAACATTGATTTTTATAAATCAATCACATTCTTGTATATTCACTGAAGAATTAAATCACCTCATAACTTGTATTTACATTACATTTCATAAGCGACCTGTCACGTCCGGTAACATGTAACACGTTGACCGCCATTTCAACCATATACAGATGAAACAACAGTTGTATACACTTAAAAATTAATTTTCTTACTGATGCACGAAATAAACAAAATTTTATTAGATCCATGATATACAAGAAGGTTAAAAGAACAACCTATTAAAAATATTGCCTTTTCAGTTTCCTTAACCTCTTGCGGTTGGACGACATACCATGCACGTCGAAGATTATTTTTGTCCCAATGACGTTTTATATACATCAATAGTCTTGTTGCATTACACATACTACATTGTTTTGAAATGTATTACTCTGTACAAAATTAGGAATAAATGAAAGTAGTATACGTATCTGCGTGAAATAGGTAAAAACAAAATTCTTCGCACAATACTTTGGCAAACCTTTGAATTAATTTCCAGCGCAAGAGGTTAACCAGTTAACTGTGTTCAACGAGAATACACGTCATCTTAAAGCTTGAAACGATACTAATTCTTTCAACGATGAATTCTTTATTTTTTTGAGATAAACATGTAATTCCTCTTTTGTTTTGGTTTTTTATTAAAATATATTCTAGGTGCATTCGTTCTGTGTTTGACGAGTACACACTTCATTTTTCCATTTTATTGCGCGCTAAGCGAGAGATTTTAGAAACTAAATTCCACAGTTAACAGATTAAGGAGATTGCTTTTATTGTGCGAGTAATTTGCCGATCGAGCGGTCAACGCGTTAAATCGCCTTTGGTTTGTACACAGGGAATAAATCGCAAAGTGGATCGCATCGATCCCAGGAATCGATCTCACCTTTTTCAGGCACCCGACGAAGTTGTTGATCCCTTTAGCGCCCTGCAGGGATCTCGCGTCGGCGCCTCCGCCTACCAGCAGTCGATCGCTCGCCAAATGTGTGAACGAGCCCGCAGTGTGTCCGTGCTCTGCGTAAATCCCATCGACGATGGCGGAGAGCTGCAACACAAGCCATAGGGGGCAAAGTTCGTAAGGGCTTTCCGAAAAGTTACGTGCATCCCTACCCCTTCTCGCACTCCCACCCCCCTCCTTCGCCGGTACCCCAAACCCCTCGAAACGTGGAACTGGCTTAAAAGCGTCGACTGAAACCCGATTTCAGATTAAAGTATAGGCGAACTAGTCCTGAGACGAGGACGAGGTTCGACGCGTGGGATTAAATTTCGTCGCGACGAAGGACAGGATGACGTTACCAAGGGAAGACTTCCGTTGGACACGTGTGTCACGTTATTTTTGGGATATTTCGTGAGTTAACTGTTTCACTACCCACTAAAAATGCAGATGATTAAAAAAAATGATATTTCTAGAAAATTTAGCGATTTAACTCTTTCACTATTCGCTAAAAACAAGGATTATAAGAAAACACGTCATTTCTGGGAAAGGTAGTGATTTATCTCATTTACTATCCACTGAAAACAAAGATTATCCAAAAAAACACGTTATTTCTTGAATATTTCATGAGTTAATTTTATTAGTATCCACTAAATATAGAGATTATTTTAAAAAACGATATTTAGTTAACCTTTCCATTGTCCACTAAAAACAGAGATTACCCCAAAAAACGTAGAATATAACAAATTTGTATCACGTGCAGGTATGCAGACGTTTTCTTAAATATTCGATAAAATTGTTCATGATCTTCATTTTCGCGATACTTCAACGTTGATTAGTGCTTTGGAAATAAGAAATGTATGCAATGATACGGTAATATTAACGCTTAATAGATGAAGGTTTTCCAAAGTACTCGAAACCTTCACTAGAAAAAGTTAAATTATATGGAACTCTTACTACTATGAGAAAAGGAACCTATGCATTAATCTTTTATTGCTGGAATAATTAAATGAATTACTCGCAAATAGTCCACAAAGAATCAAAATGTGAACAAACGTGAACATATCGATTGTTAACATTTCAGTTAAAATCGTTCGATTCGTCTTAGGATGGATTAAAGAAAGCTGTAATCCACTCCAATATTAATATTTCTCATTAAAAACGTTGATATCCTCTGAACAGGGATGACTCATTGAATACCGTCGTTGTTCAATTACCATCGAATGCGAATCCTCTTATTCGCTTACCGCAAATAGCTTATTATCATGTAGCATAATGAACGTGTCGGGGATCATAAACAATCATGTCAGGATATTAATTTATCCCTATAATGAGGCAGATAATCACGTTACGTAAGACGGGGACGGATAGAACGGGAGGAAAAGCGATAGCCATTGTTCCTCGCCAGTGCTCGGATCTTTTTCCTTGTTAATTAACGATCGTTGATACGGAAAAAGGAGACTACAGGCTTCGGACGAGACTTCCGTGGAGGTTCCTTTATCGGAGTTCGCGATATCGGACAACGTTCAGCCACTGATCGATTTAAGAATGGATCCGAATGAAAAACAAGGATCCCAGCACAGAATTCATATAATTGAAGATGAAAAATGGAAAACTACAACAAATATAAAAGAACTTCATATTTTAGAATTCTGGGAGAAACATTGACAAAATACTATAAAATAAAATAAAACTTACATAAGAAACAATGAATCGCAAAGATGTGGTATTGATATTGATTTCTTGTGATAATGACCAACAAAATTGAGTGTTTATATGCTTACGCTAATGATGCAAATGGGTTAAATAGGTAATGCTACGAATGTTAAAAAACTGATTTATAAGAGTTTTGGTAAAAGGACTCGACTTTTCGAATACAGGTAAAATATACATTGAATTTCAATATACCAAAGGAAAAGAGAATTATGCTTCTTCAGTTATTCAAATAATTCAATTACATGTTCCAGAATCTCAGATATAAAGATTTCATGTCTCCAAAATGCCGACATTCGTGTTCAAGCGGTTAAATGTAACAACCTAGATTCGTCAACCCTAAATCAGAATCTGCCTTCAAACAACAAAGCTCCCTCTCACATCTGAACATTCAACCCTTTGAAAAACACTTTGCCAGGTCCCGGGAGCCCCGCAATAGCTCCCGGGGGTTATTGCTCGTCTTGTCACCGTCCCCCATAAAATCCAGCATTTAGGCAAGGAAGGCACTCAGGGAGAGCAGCGAAAGTCGAGTGGTCCATTACGAGTTCACGGCGAGGCGTCGATAGTCGTTATCTCCCTTGCCCCCCTGTCCGCAGCGTTATCCTGTTCCTTTTTCGGCCTCCCTTTTCACCGGGGCAGAGCCTCTTCCTCCTTCGTAGCGATGGTAGGTGGTCCGTCCAGAAAGGATTTTGCCGGGTCTTCCACCCAGTCCACCTTTTCGTTCTTGTAATTAGACTGCTCTCCAGCGAAGGATGCTTTTCCTTGGACCGCAGCCGAGCAATCTCTTCATAATTCCCGCGGTCTTATCTCGGATGTTTCTTCGCGAGCAAACAGATCTTAGATGGAGTGGGCAATTCTGCCGTGATAAAATTAAGGGGGAACAGTTCGTTAAGGATCCACTTCCGCCGACCGCAGCCACCGCCTGATCTTCCGGCTCCGTGGAACCACGGATGGTTCTCCGACAGGCAAAGTTGAGAGGTACATTACAATGTTTGCCCTTTCTCGTTTAGATGCCGGATATTGTACCAGGTTTCGATAGAGGGTTGCTTCCCACCCATTTTCTTCTCACCTGACTGCCTCAATGATATTATGTTCTGGGACGGTGCGGAACGCTTCCACGGACGCGCTGGATCCCTTCCGGTCGCCGTTCAAGACTACGGTGACGGAGGCAATGAAATGTAGAGCACCGCAGGACCTTTATTACACTGTTAAATACTTCTATAGGGATTTCACGTTTATGAATTTTACGTTAAGCTTCACTGCATTTTGAGTATGGCCCAACTTCTTCTTGTATTATTTTGTTACATAGAATCTTACTTTTACAGTTATTTTCTAGTAATTTTTCAATCACGTTATAGATTAATTTTTTTAATTTAATATGTAATATTATTTAAACTTGTTGCTTCAATAACGATAGGTATAAATTGTATGCTCGACAAATGTTGCATTTATCTTGATTTCTATAGATGGAGTTGTTCAAGAGTGTAATTACTGTGATTTTGTTACTTAATTTTGTTTGATTTGCTTTTCTGTGCCTTTAACTTATCTTCTTTCCCTCCTTATTCAATATTTCCCTAACTTTAATACAATTGCAAAAAGCAATCTAGTCTAAGAATTCATTAATACCGATGTAAAAGCCTCTTCAAGAACCTAGCTAATCATGAAACACTGAAGTTTCCACATTCACGTTCAGGCATGAAATTCAAGAAATTCACATATTACAAACACTCCAATCTCAGATATAAAGATCTCATTGAAACTGTTGCAAATGGGGCAAGAGATCGTTTCATTCTTCCTTCGCGTACATTCATTGAACATTACCGTGAAACTTCGGGATAAGTTCTTATTAGACGATGCGTCGCAATAATATTCACTCACCGGTGCGTATTCGACAAAAGGGCGATCCGCGCACTAGTGAATGCGTTCCGACTGTCGTTACAAATTTCTTGCGAGTTTGCCAAGGAAAACAGGAATACAAGTTTTGGCCGACAGAGAGCCGCGGCTTCCGCGAACATTAAGCCGAACATTCAAGTTTATTCTCCAGCCCAATCGGAATTCGTTGTTCTTCAGGGTACTGTACACGACTGGGCTGTTCCAGGGTCGCAGCTTTCAAACTTCTGCACAATTAAAACTTACACATGCCACAATCAGCGCGCAGCGCGTAACGTACCCTTACCCCGTGAAACTTCGAAATATATCGTACACAGTCGAGCCGAGATCTTCGTTTCCGGAGTTCCAAGAGGGATAAGCGCAATCAGCGTGTCTGTTCGTTTCGTAATTACGGGCTGCTCGAGTAAATTCAACTTTTTAGGGTTTTAGACTGTGGAGTATTATTGAAATGTCGGTTTCGTATTATTTGTGTTTGTTGCCATAGTATAATTAGGATTTTCGAGCGATAGGCATATAAATGAGGAGGAACGGTTGCAAAATGATTCCATGTTTGAGTAGTGGTTTTGTTAGTGATTAGCAATGATTGTGGAAAGAAGGAAAATATAAATCTGTGAAGATGAGAGTCTACACTAAATATGACCAATTTACAAAGAGTTAAATGTATAGAACAATAGTTTTAATATAATATAAAGGAGCAAGTTACTATTATTCACATAAAAAATGTTTTTTAACTGGTCAACTACTGGTGCTTTTACCCTAATAATAATTTTTTAATTATAGAATTTTGTTACACAGATATATATCTTAAATATCTCAAATATACTACATGGTATTATCGAAAATAATTAAAAATTTGTGGACAGAAATTACAATAAATTACAAAAATGTATTAAGTAAAATTTTCAAACCGTTACCGTTTAATAATCTAAAAATTAATCAAAAACTTTTGAATAAAAAATTCAGACTAATATCCATATCCACGCGTGATTGAGATTTATAAATATCACTAATAGAAACAATGCTCAATAGTCGCACCAACTACGACATATGAAAACCAGCATACTCAATGAATGTCCAAAGAAACTCCCATCTACCCAAAGAACTCAATCCCGCGTCTTCCACTTCTTTTCCCGCACGATCATTTCCACTTCAGTGACACCAAAAGTTACGCATCGCGTCGTACACTCCACCAAAGTGTGCTTCACGGGTAATTTCAAGCTAGATAACTTCGTCGCAAGGAGACATAAGAGGCATACACAACGTCGAGCGCAATATTTACACTTCGTATCCCATTGAAAAAAAAGTTATCTGTGGGCTCGATCATCTGCACTATCGACTCGAACGGCCGATACGGTGAAGCAGAAAAGAAAAAAGAATGAAAAGGGGAGGAAAAGGATGCGAACGACGGCTCGACGGGGGATCGTTAAACGGCGAGGTCTTCCGGGACGTGTTTACGTTCGAATAATTTTACGAAGTTCCGTGAACCAATGGCGGACCGCTGGGTCCTG